ACCTTGTTATCTCAGACTCCAGCATCGACAGTTCCTACTATCTCTTACAATATCAGTAACATGGGGCCAAGAGGGAAGTTATATGGTCAGCGGTTTGAGGGAACTGGTTAAGAGAGTGCAGGAGATGGACAAAGTGAGCTTGAAGAGGGCATGCGGAAGATAGGCAAGAAATAAGAGAAAGGTGAAATTTGAACTTTACAGGACATTTGGCCCATTGGGCTGGTAGAAGGACAAGACTTGACATAGGCAGCTGACAAGGTACTCTCAATCTTGGTGACAAAGAATTCTGTGAACTGTTTCCACATATAGCTGCAGATAAGGGTGGAGGAAAAGGGAATAGGAATGTCAGAAGACATTTATAATAGAGAAAATATGCTCAGGATTATCTTTGCATTCCAGCCTGATCCTGGAGTAACAAGCAAAGTTCCTACAACTGTCACTACAGGAACATTTGAGTAATGCAAATGTAAGTAATTGACGCGTATCCACGTCCTCACAAAATAACTCCACAGACCCAGTATCCTGTCACCAAGTCACCCTTTATTTACACATAGAGAGCCCTTGATGCTGATGCAGCTCCCTTAGAGCCAGCTGTCAGAGTGAACAGGATGTCTGACACTTCTGTTCCTGTCTCTCAGCCAGGGCTCCCTGATTGGACCAGATTAAGCAGCCCCAATCAGGGAACCACCTGGCTGGCCTCATTATAATCACTACATTCACAGCAACTGAACTACAAAGACGCTCAATGCTCAACAACTCTAACACTGGAAGGGGAATAACATGCCTGATGTGCATAGTGACACCACTGCTCCCCTAACTGGAAACATTTAGAAATGTATAAGAGCAGAAACTTGAAATGCCTGGCTGGAGCAAGTCAAATTAGCAGACAACAGCTGCTCAACCTGGAGAGGCTCATATCAAGAACTGGCGATGTGAGGAGGGGTCATTTGTGAATTGGAAGCCCAGAAGCGAGAGACAGATTGAGGGAGAAAATATCTGTAAACATTTGTTATTCAAATGGAAACCTTGCAAAAACTCTTGGATGAAATAACACAGTGACCCCTCACAGTCACTCTTTGTAATCCTTTCTCCCTCGCAGTGACCCAGGACCAACATTTACTTTGACAATCAGACTGCCAGCCAGGTTTATTGTTTTTTTTTAATTTTTCTGGAGTTTTAAACATTTGTTTGATGTTGCAAATTTGGCCAAATTCGCTGGTTCTGGAAACGATTGACAAGGGCCCCTGATGTCACCTGGCATGAGGACCTCTTAGATCTTCAGCGTCCTCCCATCTGGAGTTGCAGCAACTTCCGAAATGGCTCAAAGTCATCAGGAATTGTGTCTGTGAAACAAGTAGAGGAAAGAAATATCAAGCGAGCAGAATAATCTGGCACATTTCCTGTCTGTGCTCAGCCAAGCGTTTCCATCAGCACCACTTGCAGTTAATATTTAGTGGGCTATGGGCAAGTTCCCCTCCAAGCCACTCATTATCCTGGATTAGAAATATATCACTATTCCTTCAGTATCACTGAGTCAAAATCCTGGATTTCTCTCCCTAACAGCATTGTGGGTTCACCTACAACAAATGGGCTGCGACAGTTCAAGAAGGCAGCTCACCACCACCTTCCCAAGGGCAATTATTATGCCCAGACTGTAGAGTTTTAGTTGTGAAGAGAGATTGACAGACTGGGGTGGTTTTCCATGGAACAGAGGGGAATATGATTGAGATGTATAAAATTGCGAGGGGCATAAACAGGATAGACAGGAGGACATGTTTCTCGTTAGTGAAGGGATCAACAATCAGGGAGCACAGATTTAAGATAAAGAGCAGGAAGATTAGAAGGGATGTGAAGAAATATTTTTTCACCCAGAAGGTGGTGGGAACCTGGAGCTCACTGCTTGTAAGGGTCATAGAGGCAAAACCTTCAACATTTAAGGAGTATTTAGATGTACACTTGCAATGCCAAGGCATACACGACCATGGACCAAGTGCTGGAAAATGGGATTAGAATAGTTAGGTGGTTGTTTTGACTGGTGTAGACTCGATTGGCTGAAAGGTCTTTTTTCTGTGCTGCAGATCTTTTTGACTAAGGATAAGCAATAATGACGCTCAGTAGCAGCAGTGTGTACTATCTACAAGATGCACTGCAGAAATTCACCAAAGATCCTCAGACAGCACTTTCCAAACTCACAACCACTTCCATCTAGAAGGACAAGGGTGGCAGATACATGGGAACACCACCCCTCCAAGTCACTCACCATCCAGACTTGGAAATATATCGCATTGTGGGTCAACCCACAGCAGGAGGACTGCAGCGGTTCAAGAAGCCTGCTCACCCCCACCTTCTCAAGGGGCAACTAGGGATGGGCAAGAAATGCTGGGCCCAGCCAGTGATGCCCACATCCTACAAAATGAATAGGGGAAAAAAGAATGCTGACCCAACCAGCAATTCCCACATTCCCATGAATTAATAAAAAAAGCTGTACTCACCATTACACCTGTAGCGCAGGTTGGACCAAATAATATTCTCCTGGGAGAAGCAGAAGACACCAAGACGCCCTCCACGCATAGTTGTATCAATTGTTACGCCTGAATCTGCAACAAGATTAGGTCCTTCGTACAATTTGACTCTGAAAGGAGAATGAAAGTTATGCTCCAGCTACACAAAACCCTGGTTCAGCCACACTTGGAGTATTGTGTCCAGTTCTGGTCGCCTCATTACAGGAAAGATGTGGAAGCGTTGGAAAAGGTGCAGAGGAGACTTACCAGGATGTTGCCTGGAATGGGGAAAGGTTGAGAGAGCTATGGCTTTTCTCTTTAGAACGATGAAGGATGAGAGGTGACTTGATAGAGGTGTACAAAATGATCAGAGGTATAGATAGAGTGGACAGCCAGAGACTTTTTCCTAGGGTGGAGGTAGCTATTACAAGGGGGCATAGTTTTAAAGTGAGTGGAGGTAGATATAGGGGAGACGTCAGAGGTAGTTTCTTTACTCAGAGAGTGGTAGGGGCGTGGAATGTATTGTCGGAGAGGGTAGTGGAGTTGGCCTCATTAGGGGCATTTAAGCGGCTATTAGATAGGCATATGGATGATAGTACAAGGTAGGGGTGGAGGTTAGATAGACCTTAGGTTTAGGATAAAAGTTTGGCACAACATCATGGGCCGAAGGGCCTGTACTGTGCTGTACTGTTCTGTGTTCTAATGAAGCCACAGTTTTATAACTGAAAGAAATGTTCACCTTTTGTACGTCTTAAAATGGTGCAGCTGTGTCTGTAATCACCAACATTGTCTGCTTAATGAAATACAGCTGGAAATATGCAGCAGATCATGGAGTCTACAGGAATGGATATAGACCTTTGGTTGTATAACCTTCAGAAACCCTTGCTGTGAAGAAAATGGAGGACATAGGATCTGAAATCTTAACTCAATGTTTAGGTCAGAAGGCAACAGAGTAATCAGATGCTGAGCTCTCAGTTTGTGTGAAACTACACCGAAACAGTGAAGGGAGGAGACACCAGTCAATTAAAGCAGGAATGGGAGTGTTCTACGAAGGGGTTGATGGAGGAGGGTGATCAAGATCACAAGCGTACACAACAACAATAACAAATACAGAAAATGAGCAGGTTTGGTAGCAACTGTGGAGAAACAGAGTTAACTTTCATGTCACATATAACTCTTAATACTTACAAAGACATCAAGCCCCCCCAGATACAGATTCTGAATATTTCGCTGATATCTTTTGAGGTAAGTGTTTAGGGTATGATTGTCTGCCTGGGAGTTTAGTGAAGGCAGGTTCAATCATGGCTTTCACTCAGAAATTGAATAAGCACCTGAAGAGAAAAAAATTACGAGGTAATGGGGAAAGGGTGGGACTACCTTTTCAGCCTACAAATCTATGTTAGGGGAAATCATATTCCAGAACTGTTATACACTAACTGAGAGAGGGACCCATTTAGTAAAAGCCAGAGTTCACGGAAAACTAGTCAATTATTGTAGCTCAGCTTTGCACTAACAATATCTCCCTAACTGCATTGTGTGGGTGTGTATCTGTCTCCTAACTCTGCACTGCATTGTAACTTTGTCTCTCCCTGACTGTTTGCTCTGCCTCTTTTCTCATTCTCTAAACACACTGTATGTACTTCTGACTACTGTATGGTCTGTGTGCAAGTGTGATTCTCAATCTCTGAGTTTGCTTCCCTCTTTATCTTCTCACTATCTGCATTTCTCTGCCTTTAATTACATGTTTAGGCAAACTGAATCTTTTTTACTGAGTTTGCTTTCAGGATCTGAAATTGGACAGAGTTCTAACAAAGGAAGAAGTGGAATTGCTGGAAGTTGGAGTCATGCTGAACTGATGATGCAGAACTCAAATTCCAAACAGTAACTTCAGCCTGTCAGCCATTGTCTCCAGATTTACATTTCAATGGAAATGGGGCCCTAACTGACCTGTCAGGATCCTGTTGCTATGGGAAAGTTTCTTGGTTACCAGAGGAAAAGGATGTCTTTTGTGTCTGGAGAACGTGTTCAGCATTCACTAGAATGACAAAACACAACTCCAAAAACAAAACTCCAATAAGCCAACATATGGGCTGTCTCTGCTCATTAAGACTCATTCCAAGGTACCAGATTATCAGGCAGAAGTTGCCAAACCTTCAAAATCTCCAAACCATCCATGACTTCCACAGATTCTTTAATATCCATCACTGAAAATACAAATCTGTCGGGAATTCATAAAAAGTGACTGACCAATTCTTATGAAGAAATAGGGAAACTTTGACTCGGGGATGCGGAGAGTGGGGAGATTTCTGATGACGATAACTCTCCTAGTGCCTCACAAAATTATACAGAGGCAAAGGCAAGGTTCAGTCTATGTACCCTGGAATTCTTTCTCTAAACCTCTCCATTCCTCTCCTTTTAATATACTCCATCAAATCTACCCCTCATCTGTCCCAATATTTCAAATTCTGTTGACTAACTTTACAGTGAACCATCTTCAGACATTTCACTGTATAATGGTACTACTTAAATTTAAGGTGTATTTAATAAGGAGCGCAGAGTGTTTGTTGATTACTGGTTTCTATTGAACATGTGATTGTGAACTCACCTGATATAGCCAACTTGTGGCCTGTGCACCAGCTGCCATCTGTAGGAGGTCTTGTCCTTCCAGCCCACATCACGGGGATCTTTCCACAGCAGCGTTACCTGGTCTTGGGTGGTGCCAGTATTCCAAAGTGCATTCCTTAGGTACTCCCCTGGGCCAGTCTTTGATTTTACGGCCTGATTGGGATCCAAAGTGAAGGACAAGTGAGTAATCTGAATGATACATCATCACCATAAACATTAAATATTCAAATTGATTATCCAGACCCAATGCTTGGACTAATTGGTGGGTCAGGTAGTGTGTGTGTTTTAACTTCACACTTTTCTGCTAATGCTTCTAATGGTGTGGAGGCTCCACCATTGAACATAACCGTGAGTGTTGAAACTTTCAGTCCCATCTGTTGTTTTCCCATCTCCTGAAGAGTCAGACATGGGCGGCACGGTGGCTCAGTGCTTTCAGGATCTGATTAGCGCTGCTGCCTCACAGCACCAGGGACCCAGCCTCGAGTGACTGTCTGTGTGGAGTTTGCACATTCTCCCCGTGTCTGTATGGGTTTCCTCCGGGTGCTCCAGTTTCCTTCCACAGTCGAAAGATGTGCAAGTTAGGTGGATTGGCCATGCTAAATTGTCCATAGTGTTCAGGGATGTGTAGGGTATGCGCGTTAGCTATGGGAATTACAGGTTAGGTCTGGTTGGGATGATCTTCATAGAACATAGAACAGTACAAGCCCTTTGGCCCACAATGTTGTGCTGACCTATTATCCTACTCGAAGATCAAACTACCCTGCGTACCCTACACTTTACTATCATCCATGTGCCTATCCAAGAGTCGCTTAAATGTCCCTAATGTATCTGACTCCACTACCACTGCTGGAAGTGCATTCCACGCACCCATCACTCTCTGTGTAAAGAACCTACCTCTGACATCTCCCCTATACCTTCCTCCAATCACCTTAAAATTATGCCTCCTCGTAATAGTCATTTTCACCCTGGGAAAAAGCCTCTGGCTATTCACTCTATCTATGCCTCTCATCATCTTGTACACCTCTATCAAGTCACCTCTCATCCTTCTTCACTCCAATGAGAAAAGCCCTAGTTCTCTCAACTTTTTCCTCATAAGACCTGCCCTCCAGTCCAGGCAGTAACCTGGTAAATCTCCTCTGCACCCTCTCTAAAGCTTCCACATCCTTCCTATAATGAGGCAACCAGAACTGAACACAATATTCCAAATATGTGGTCTAACCAGGGTTTTATACAGCTGCAGCATAACCTCGTGGCACTTAAACTCAATTCCCCTGCCAATGAAAGCCAACACACCATACACCTTCCTAACAACCCTATCAACTTGGGTAGCAACTTTGAAGGATCTATGGACATGGACCCCAAGATCCCTCTGTTCTTCCACACTGCCGAGAATCCTGCCATTAACCGTGTATTTTGCATTCAAATTTGACCTTCCAAAATGAATCACTTCACACTTTTCTGGGTTGAATTCCATCTGCCACTTCTTTGCCCAGCTCTGCATCCTGTCAATGTCCCGTTGATCTTCAACCTACAACAGCCCTCCACACTGTCCACAACTCCACCAACCTTCGTTACATCGGCAAACTTACTAACCCACCCTTCCACTTCCTCATCCAAGTCATTTATAAAGATCACAAAGACTAGAGGTCCCAGAACAGATCCCTGTGGCACACCACTGGTCACCAAGCTCCAGGCTGAATACTTTCCATCTACTACCACCCTCTGTCTTCTATTGGACAGCCAGTTTTGTTTCCAGACAGCCAAATTTCCCTGAATCTCATGCCTCCTTAATTTCTGAAGAGCCTACCATATGGAACCTTATCGAATGCTTTGCTAAAATCCACATACACCACATCCACTGCTCTACCTTCATCGATGTGTTTTGTTACATCCTCAAAGAAATCAATAAGGCTTGTAAAGCATGACCTGCCCCTCTCAAAGCCATGCTGACTATTTCTAATCAACCTGTGCTTTTCCAAATAATCATAAATACTATCTCTCAGAATCTTCTCCAATAATTTGCCCACCACAGAAGTAAGACTGACTGGTTTGTAATTTCCAGGATTATCCCTATTCCCTTTCTTGAACGAGGGAATGACATTTCCATCCTCCAATCTCTGGCACTATTCCAGTGGACAGTGAGGGTGCAAAAATCATTGCGAAGGGGCAGCAATCTCTTCCCTCGCTTCCCGTAGGAACCTTGGGTATATCCTGTCTGGCCCAGGGGACTTATCTGTCTTCGTGTTTTTCAAAATTTCTAGCACATCCTCCCAACATCAACCTGTATAAGTCTGTGTGGACTTGTTGGGCCAAATGGCATGTTCCCACACTAGGAATTCTATGACTATAACTGTGGGGGGTGGAATTCAACTGATTAGCAGATGGAGTTTAATTTAGATAAATGTGAGGTGCAGCATTTTGGAAAGACAAATCAAGGCAGGACTTGTACACTTAATGGTAATGTCCTGGGGAGTGTTCCTGAACAGAGAGACTTTGGAGTGCAGGTTCACAGTTTCTTGAAAGTGGAGTCCCAGGTAGACAGGATAGTGAAGGTGGTGTTTGGTACGCTTGCCTTTATTGGAAAGTGCATTGAGTATAGGAGTTGGGAGGTCATGTTGTGGCTGTACAGGACACTGATTAGGCCACTTTTGGAACACTGTGTGCAATTCTGGTCTCCCTGCTATAGGAAGGATGTTGTGAAACTTGAAAGGTTCAGAAAAGATTTACAAGTATGTTACCAGGGTTGGAGGGTTTGACCTACAGGGAGAGGCTGAATAGACTGGGCCCATTTTCCCTGGAGTGTCAGAGGCTGAGGGGTGACTTTATAGAGGTTTATAAAAGCATGAGGGGCATAGATTAGGTAAATATACAAGGTCCTTTCCTCAGGGTGGAGGAGTCCAAAACTAGAGGGCATGGGTTTAAAGTGAGAGGGGAAAGAATTAAAAGGGACCTAAGATGCAATTTTTTCATGCAGAGGGTGGTGAATGTATGGAATGAGCTGCCAGAGGAAGTGGGGAGGCTTCTACAATTACAACATTTATGTCGTATCTGGGTTTAGAGGGATATGGGCCAAATGCTGGCAAATGGGACTAGATTTGTTTAGGATAGCTGGTCGGCATGGATGGGTTGGACTGAAGGGTCTGTTTCCGTGCTGTACATCTACATGACTCTATGATTGAGCCCTTTCCTGTATTTCTCCACCACAGTGGTTAAGTTCAATGTTTACAATGTAGACAATCTATTTGTTTTGATCCTTGAACGCTCTCTCTCTCTGACATAAGGGGATCTATTACACTGTAAGTAATCTCTTTCCTGACATGGGAGACATCTGTAGAGGAGGAAGTGAGCTAGAGGTAACTGAGAGGACAGGATCAGTAAGTGTAGGGTTGTGATGCAAGAGGAAGGATAACCTGAGGGTACAGGGTGATAAGGGGGAGGGCAGGGGACTGATTTAATGTACTGGGAGGATGCATCAACATCATGAAGACGGGGACAGCCTGCACACTGAAAGATTCATCAGTCACCCATGTATCTGGCTCTCTGTGGTTAAGAATCTGAAAGAGAGGGAGCAAAGCTGGAGCAGGTCTTTGTTTACTGTGGCTCCACCAGCAATTTGTGGTCTGGAGAATTTCAACTGCTATAATTTGACAGCAGCCAATAACCTCAAGGCGCACAGCAGCAGCTCGAAATGTGTCCGTGATTCCAAACAGAGGTCCTTCTTAGGGGAAGATTGAGTGCACAGTTAGGTCAGAAAAGTGGTTCGTGTACACAATGTGCCTAAAATTATGAGCTTGTAGATAGACAATCAGGTTGTCATTACAGGAAGAATCACTAATCACTAACTGAGATTCTGGATACTGAGTGACAGGGCAGGTCTATCTCCTGCTGAGATTCTGGACAATGGTTAGCAGGAACAGGTCTTTCTTACTGAGTTCTGGTTACTAAGTGAACAGGGAGACATCTGGATTAGGAGGGGCAGGTGTGTCTCTCGCAGAGTTTCTGGTTCCTGAGTGAGCAGGGATCGGTCTGTTCCTTGCTGAGATTCTGTTTACTAAGTTAACAGGAATGGGTCTATCTCTCGCTGAGATTCTGGTTCCTAAGTGTGCAGGGACTGACCTGACTCTCTGGGATTCTGATTCCTAAGAAGCAGAGAGAAGCCTGTCACTCAACAAGTTTTTGCTTACTGAATGAACAGGGACAAATTGGTCACTTGCTGAGATTCTGGCTACTGAGTGAACAAGGAAAGACCTGTCTCTCACCCAGTTTCTAGCTACTTAAAATGCTAGTACAGGCATGCCTCTTACTAAGATTCAGGTTACTGAGTGAGCAGGCATGGGTCTGTTTCTCACTGACATTCTGATTAGTGAGTTAGCAGGGACAGGACTGTCTCTTGCTGAGATTGTCTTTACTGAGTGAGGAAGGATGGGCCTGTCTCTTGCCCAGTTTCTGGTGACTGAGTTTGCTGGCACAGGTTGAGATTGTGGTTACTGAGCAAGCATGGACAATCCTATCCCTCGCCTAGTTTATGATTCCTGAGTTAGCTAGGATGGGCCTGTCTCTCACAGTTTGGGGCATTGGTTTCACCTTGAGCTGAAGACCAGGCTCAGCCACTGCACGGAATGGTGTAGACTGCCAGTATGTCTGCTCTGTCTGTTTCCACATCACCACGTAGAAGCTGGAGCTGTCCTGGTAGCCAAATATAAAACCGGCGTAATCATCATCTGTCACAGTGTTCACGTGGAATGTGCCTTCAAAGTCCACACCATTGAATGCAGTGTAACCTGGGGCATGAGGGCAAGAATAGCATGATCAACACTGTGTCCTTACAACAGCATCACTGTCCCAAACCACTCAGTTCAAATGAGGCAGCATCAAGCAACAGCTGACCAAAACATAATTGAAAATCTCCTGTTAATTTTATCGATCTTTGCTTTTATAAAGGAGCAATGTTAAATTTCATGTATATTAAAACCTAAACTAACAGAGAGCTTCAAACATTCTCAGCACCAGTGAAATACAGTATAAAGTTCCCTTGAGACCATCCATATCAAACTGTCAGGATGTAGGAAACATCTGGATTTCCAATGTTTTGAAGATTAGTTCAATAGTAAATCTCTGCTTTCAGTCAGTCCAGTTCAGGCTGTGTTGCTGACATCACATTTCACCAATTGAACAAAATGCACCCAACTTACCAACAGCTAATCCTGGGTCACTGTTCATAGTCTGCACAATCTCCATTCCCTGTCACACAAACACAAAGATTATTTATGAAACACTGGGACCTTCTGGGGATGCTGACCAAAGGTGATTGGCAATACCAAGGTCACAGACACATGACAGGCTGGAGATGGATGATTTTTGTCTCACTAATGTTTAACCTCAGGACTTTGTAGTTTGTCCAACACTAGATGTTGAAGTGTAACAACAGAGATGTTGTTATCAGAGTACGTATGCAAACTGAAACCTGCATCTGTACGTGATGTTACCCAATCGGCAGAAACCCATGTCAACGGGGAAGAAGTCATGGAAACAAGAATTTCTGGTGAGACAGCAATAAGCAACAAAAAGAGAAGACCTTGCT